GACGCCAAGGAGGAATGGAGTTGTCACAGCAGGCTTTGCCCTGCCTGTTCTTGGTGCAAAAACTAATATAACATGAAAAACCAAGGCAAAGAGGTGAAAGGAGAGGGCATGGAGGGTCCTGTGGGACGCAGGGCATCCCACTCAGCCTCTGCTTCCCTGTACCCAGGTATAGAAGAGGGCTCAGGGCAATCCTGTGCCCAACAGGATCCCCTGGTTTTAGCAACATCATGCTGGAGGAAAGAGTTCCTCAGCACCAACCCACGGCACGTGATCCCAGGCTCCCAAGTGCTGCCTCATCCAGCCCAGAGGATCCATGGGATATCTGGGAAAGGATGAACCCCACAGCCACAAAACACCCCTCTGACATCAAGGTCCACCAGGCAGCAATGCCCTCTGCTTCGGTTTTAAGCCAGAAATCAAGAAAAGGGAGAAAACCAGCATCTCTCAGCTTGAGCTCCTCAGCCTCACTGAGTGTCCTGCCACACAGCCAGGGATGGAGGGTCACTGGGGGTCCCTGCATAGCCCTGGCGACCCTCAGGAAAACCTCCCAACGTCTCCATCCACCCAGACAGGAAAGCACCACCTAACATCTCTTCCTCATGCACCCCAGAGCTTCCCCTCTCCGAACGCACCGCAGCAAACACGTGGCACAGGGGAAGCATCACCTCCTACATCCCCCTCCATCCCTAGGCACAGAACCAAGCACCAAAAACTATCTGTTAGCTCAACTACATCCACCCTGACTTCCCATCCCGCCAGGCTCAGCACAGCTTCCCGGGAGCTGCCGCCTGGCACCGCCAGCCATGGGAAGCTGTGTCACCCCCACATGTTTCAGCCACTTTTCCTTCACCCAACCCACCCAGAGTGGCAGCATTGGGTCCCTTCCCAACCCTGGTGTTAACTCGGGGTGGGTAAAGCCGGAGCTAACCCCAGGTACCCCGTGGGGTGGGCAGGGGTGGGTGGTGGGACCGATGCAGCACATCCGACACACCAGGCAGGCGCTCAGCCGCCTCTTCTCCCCGGAGAGCTGTCGCCTCTCCATCGCCCCAGCACGGACTGGGGAGCGCTGCGTCCCGGCAAAGCTCCTGGGGAAGGGTCTTCTGGCAGCACCACCCACTCACCGACCTCGGCCCCAGCGGGTGTAGATGGGTGAGATCTCAGCTGCAGCTCCTCCCACCACACTACTTCCTACCCCCAGTGCCCCCAGCGCATCGCCGCAAACCTCACCGCGACGTCAACGGATGCTTCGCCCACGGTCGGCCAAGCTCCTTGAGCTTCTCCAGATGCTTCCCAAGCCCAGGGTGCTGCCAGTGTGACCAGCAAAATCCTCACCAGCCCATGGTCCCAACAGCCAGCAGAGCTGCTTGGAAAAGTCCCAGTGTGGAAGGGCAGAGCTGGTCCCTCTGGCACATGAGGAAGAAGTGGTGCAGCTCCATGGCTGAAAGCTGTCGGGCTTGGGGTGCAGGCTCACCCTGTGGAGCTGGGCAGTGCCCTGCTGGCTGGCTCTTGGCTTGTTTTTCCTCGTCTTGTTTTCCAGTTAACTGCACCAGGGACGGGAGGGACAATGCCAGGCTGTTCTCCCTGCCTGCCTGCAGCTTCTGCCCAAAGCATGTCCTGGGAGGGAAGCGGTGGAGCCGGGACAAGGCTGCAGCCCTGCTTGGCACGCGGGGAGATAACAGGGGCTGCCTTATCACCTCTCTTCCTTTTCTTCTAAATATAATCCCCCTGCAGCTCTCCTGCCAGCTGCTGCCCTGGCTGGGAGGGTGAGAGGAGCCAGGCTGCTGCCTCGGGAAAGCAGGAGCACATCCCAGAGCATCGCACGGAGCACGCAGAGCATTGGATCCAGGGGGTGCCTGCAGGCCAGCAGCTCCTCTGCATGCTCCCTCTTCCCATTTCCTGCAGAAATGGGGGTTTTCCTTCTTTTTTTTTGGTCTTGTCTCACCACCTTTGGGTGGTTCCTGGGCTTTAACCACATTGCACCTCCTCACCCTGCACCGGCGCTATCGTCTGAGCTAATAATAATGCTGGTTGCTGCTTACTAACAATATTAAGGCATTGCAAGCTTATCTCTCCCTGGCTAATCTTTTCCAGAGTCACCCTGACAAACAGCTTGTTGCAAACCCACCATGCTTGGCCTCTCCCTGGTCTAGCAGAGGTTTGCTCGTCCCAGCCACCAAGAACCACCCTGTCACCAGCCAGGGACAGTCACCAGAGGCAATGGCCTGGGCAGCAGGCAGGTTAGAGCACAGCCAGAGGGAAGGTCACAGTGGCTAAGGAAATCTGTCCCGCTCCAAAGACAAGCCAGTGGGGCAAGAGAAATGACCACAGAGCCTCGGGTCCCCTCACACTCAGAGCAAAGGTTGGTGGCAGTGACACAGGGAACATCATTGGCAAACAGAGACCGTGTGCCTCTGCAGCTTTAATTCCCTCCCCACGTTGCTCAGCCCACCACATCCCCAAAAATGAGGATCCCAAAGGAACCAGGAACCATCTGCTCTCCATCACAGCAGCACAAATCACCCACAGAGGGGCCAGAAGCAAGGACCAAGGAGCACTGGTGACCACACAAGGAGAAGGTGGTTTTTGGGGTTTCTCCTCTGCTGTTGGTTCCCCAAGTGAACCCAGCAAGTGAGAGGGAACAGGGAAAACCATCCCACCCCACAGCTGGTTTCCAGCGCTCCAAAACCAGAGGCATCAGCTGAGCATGGAAAGAAAAACTCCCACTCATTGTTCTGCTGGACCTCAGGGCGCCTCAGGCACTTACCATCATCACAGGGACAGCTCCCACAGGCACTGGGTGCCAGAGACACCCCCAGCACCACCACAACACCCTGCACAGACATTCCCCCGTCCTGGCAGTCTGCCTGTCCCCAGCAACTCCCAACACGTCCTGCTGGGAGCTGCTGCTCCTCCCAGGATCTCTTGTCCATCATCACTGGCCTTGCTCACTGTCACACTCCATCCAAACCCAGGCACAAACAGGATAGAAGATGCCTGTCCTGGCACCATCCCTAATCCTAACCCTGGCATGGCACCCTCTATCCCACTAACACTTCTTGGGATGTCTCTTTGCCATCCTTGGGACAACACGATGCCCCGTGGGGTTTTGTGTTGTCCACCAGCTCCTTAAGCCTCCTGGAAAAAAGTTAAGAAGTAGCACCCAAACTTTCTCCTCCTGCTCATTAATTCCTGCTAAATCCAAAGGAATACAGGAGACATCAGACAAGGCACTGCTGGATGAGCTCACAGACATCTCAAGGACATCTCCAAGCCCACGCTCAGCATGAAAGTGGCATTAAACAGTGAGAGACAACCTTAGGGTGAAGAAGGGGTTGGTTACTTAAAAATGCCCCAAACCCATTTTTTTTAAGAGTTGAAACCCATCACTTTCCCTTCAACGCAAGCAAACAATGGGCATACATGGGGTTGTTTTAAACCTGGTACTGTTAAGATGGGGGCTATGCAAAAAAAACCTGGCTTGGCTGAGGAGCACGAGGTATTTAAAACATGTTGGCTGCCAACTCGGTAGCTGACATAATCCATCATGACAACAGAGCCAACAGGGCAGGATTTATAGAGCCTTTCACCCAGGGAGAGGAAACGGAGCCTGATTCAGCCTGGAAGAATGCACAAAAGATACCTGCCATGGAAAACCATCCAACACTGGGTTATTTAATGAGGGAGACACCCGAGAAGTGGTGATGCCAAGGAAAGCAGGGTGGATGCTCAGCAGAGATGGGTGAGCATCCGAGAAGTGATGATGCCAAGGAGAGCAGGGCGGATGCTCAGCAGAGATGGGTGAGCATCACAGGGCAAAAGACCTGCTGCAAGATGACCCTCATCTTCCAAGATGCTGTGCCCATGGGATGGGCATCACCTGCCCTTTACTGGAAGGAGTGATGAAGAAAACCAGATATTGAATATACTTGCTGCTTGCAACACTTGCTCCAGAATTTTATGATGCCAAGGAGAGCAGGGCGGATGCTCAGCAGAGATGGGTGAGCATCACAGGGCAAAAGACCTGCTGCAAGATGACCCTCATCTTCCAAGATGCTGTGCCCATGGGATGGGCATCACCTGCCCTTTACTGGAAGGAGTGATGAAGAAAACCAGATATTGAATATACTTGCTGCTTGCAACACTTGCTCCAGAATTTTTCCCAAAAGGGATAGATTTGGAGGGGGGGATACAGTGAGTTGGTGCAGTATGAGGAAGAGATTCATGTTGGGAAGTGTCCAGGAGGTCTCCAAAACGAGCCAAGAGCAGGAGGAATTGCAGCAAGGCTGGATTTAGTGGGTGACAGGGTGCATTCTGCACAGCGATGTGTTTGTGCAACTCACTCTCAATCTCCCTCTCCCAGCAGTTTAGAGGGAGAAAGGAAGAAGTGTATCCCAAAGCAGTATCTGGGAAAAAGTCCTGCGCACTGCCCAGGCTGCCAGTCCCGCCCCTTTGCATGGAAAAAGGGAAAGAAAAGAGGGAATCGGTCACAGACGCGGGAAAAGGCCCCATGCGGAGGCAGAGGCGAGAACAAGCGCTGCTGGAAAAAAAAGTGGGAGGAATCAAAACAAACAAATCCCAAGAGGAACAGTCAGGGAAGGAGAAGGAGCTACCGAGTTGTCTTCCACGGCCTGGAGTTATCCCACATCCCTGTAACGAATCCTCAGCCTCCCTGGGCAGTCATGTGCGAGCCCTATTTTGGGAAACTGAGGCAGGGTCAGCCCCAGCTGCTCGGCAAGTCAGTGCCAGCGCCGGGAGGAGCTCCCAGGGCTGTGTCTTGCTGGTGTCGGTGACTAACGGAGACATTCCCATCACGGCAAGGGGTGGGAGCGACACCGGGGCAGAACCAGGAGGCAGAACACAGCCACGTGTCGTGGGACCGTGCCAGACAAAAAACAGCCTCATCCCCAGCGAGACCACCCCCATCTCACCCGCTCCCACCCCCACATGGGCTGGGAATGGGTGGCAAGGCCAAATTTAGGCAGGAAAACCTCTGCCCCCCTCCCCACATGGGGCCCAGAGCCACCGGGAGGATCTACACCGTTGTGTCCTCCTCCCCAAAGCCACGTCCGACCCCGTCGGTGTCGCAGCCACAGCTCCTGGGGAGGGAAAACAAGGCATGGCCCTCACTGCCAGCTCAACAGCCATCTGAGCACCTCTGTTCCCCCCTGGAGCCTCCCCTACCTTCCCTGCTCCGGCTCCTCCAGTACAGGACGCCGGCGATGCCCAGGACGTGGCTCAGGACAAAGGCGGCCGGCGGCAGATAGGAGCTCTCGGAAAGAGGCATTGTCTCCTATTCCCAATCCGTTATTCCCAGCCCGGCTCCGAATTTCTTTCTCTTGAGGCTGCTGGAACCCAGCATCGCCAGGAGGGTGAGGGTTGATGGGTGGCCTGCAGAAACTTCTAAAACTTCCTGCCTGCAGCTGGTTGTGTTCCGAGCCGTCCCCGGAGCTGGCAGGATTGGGATAGCCAGCGTCGCTGGGACTGGGAGATTTGGGAGCTCGAAGAGGGGGCGGGTAGAGGGAGAAAGAGAGCGTCAGGCCGGCTCAAACATCTTTCCTCGGAGTTCTCGCGGCCAAACTTCGTCCCCCCCCTCCGCGCTCAGCGGGGAGAGACGTCATCTCCTCGATTTTCATTCCCAGCCCTGCTGGAAGGAAGGTTGGCGGCGGCTCTGGTGGCCACAGCGAGGGGATATCGGTGGGAGCAGCTGCTGTGTGGGCATCCCTGAGACACCAGCTCCTCAGGGGGGGCTTGGGAAAAGGCACAAAATCTCAGCCCCCCCCGATGGGTGACAGTCGACAGCGTCCTCTGCCAGCAGACAGCTTGGCAATGCCAACACACCGAGGGCAGCTGGGATCACTGGGAGTTGCTGGGAGATGCAGGCAGCGCTCGGAGGGGTAACTGGGGGAGTTTGGTACCCCAGGCTGGACACAGCACCCAGGAAACCCTCTGCCCATCAAGGGAGGGTGAAAGCAACAGCAATAAAAATTGGGCTCTGAGAGTTGGGTACCCCGAGCGTGTTCCTCTCGGTATAGAATCATTAAGGTTGGATGACACCTTTAAGATCAAGTCCAATCATCCTCCCTGGATGTCCAGATGAATGTATTAACAGCCAGGACACCCCCCCAGGAGGAAACACCCCCAAAAGATGCTCTAATACAAGAGGTTTGTCCACCTCCTGCTCTTCTCACGACCAGGTGTGCCTTTTGCCCCCAGCATCACACCATGCACAGGGAGATTTTGCAGCCCAACCCCATTTACTAACGGTTTGCACTGCGTTGGGTGTTACTCAGAGTTTCACTTTGGTTCAGAACCACTACCAGCACAGGGAAACTGAGAGCAGACCGTGCCTCCCCAGCCCCTTTGCCGTTGTAACCACAAACAAACCAGCTGGGGAGGCTCCCACAAAGCCCAGATTGATTTCAGAGCCCATCACATACCACGTCCCCCCACCAGCTCCTGAGGGAAGAAACTTGCTCTTGGATAGAAAGTCGTATGGAATTAAAGGCTCATTTTTCACTGTTACCTTCCCTGAAGGGCTCAGACAAGAGAGGGTTGTTCTGCTGTTGGCACGTGGTGGAGAAGGGGGAAGCTGTAAGGTGAGGATGGCACAGTGCAGACCTGCTCAGGATTTACTGATGGGAGAGCCAGGAATCCCAGTTTAGGATTTACTGACTGGGAGAACCAGAAGCCCCAGCTCACACAGCACCATCCATCCAGCAGCACCCACTCCACAGCTGGGAAACCCCACGAGGGTGTCACCTAGATGCAAACAGCTCCCCAAAACCCAACAGCCACAAGCAGGTCAGGCCCATCAGGAAAACCATATGGAGCAAAAGTTGATAGACCCAAACATGGCTGGAAATGTACCAAAACCTGGCACAGGTTGCCCAGAGAAGCTGTGGATGCTCCATCCATGGAAAGGTTCAAGGCCAGGTTAGATGGAGCTTGGAGCAACCTGGTCTAGTGAAAGGTGACCCTGAGCATGGCAGGAGGTTGGAATACAATGTTCTTTAAGGTCACTTCCAACCCAAACCATTCCATGATCCTATGATTGCATCATTCCCTGGGGGTCCTGCAGCCCTGTGACCTCCTAATGCCATTTGGACTAACAAGACAGGCGACAAAAAATACAGAATTACCCCGTGGCTCGGCGCTGTTGCAATATATTTTCCATAGCTTCATCCCTGCCTGGATGAAAAATATCCCAGCATAGTTTTCATCTAAAGCTGTCTGCTTTCTGTTAAAGCTGCAGGAGGAATGACCAGCTGACAGGCACAAGGCCACCATAAATGGGCCCATGGTCCACCCTGAGCAGGGCAAACAGCACAGATAGCTGCTGGGGATGGGATGGAGCTGGGATGTGCCAGTGGAAAAGGGTCTGGGAAGCAGGAGCTGGTTCCCCATATCCCCTCACCCATGGGGGACCAGCTGCTCCTGTGCTTTCTGCACAGAGGGGCTGAGAAAACATACTGAGCACTGCCAGCTGCTCCAGCTGGAGAAGGCTTTGGGTGAAAGAAACTCTTAAAATATATAGAATCATGCATAAATATGTATTTTCAATTATGCTTATTTATAGATAGAAAAATAATATACCAGAACCATAGAATATCCTGACTTGGAAGGAACTCACAAGGATGATTGAGTCGAACTCCTGAATATATTTAGATTCATGGACATTTATATATGTAAATACTGCTGCACCAGGACACCCTGTGGATTCCTGGGATCCCTCACTTCATCCTGCTCAGTTTAACACCATTACCCCACTTTCCTCTCCCAGCTCAGCACTGCCGGAAGCCGATAAGCAGGAGGAGGCTGAGATGAGGTTTCGGAAGCCAACGTTGGGTTTCGGGGTGACTCTTCAAGGTTCTGGGGACCACCCATCCCCGGATGCAGTCACTCACCCCCCTCCCTGCCATGGAAACCACCCTGAGCACCCAAAACACAAACAGCTCCTTTTAGTTCCTTGCAGAGCAGCTTCAACCGTCAGCTCAGCCCGGAAAGGAAAGGGGTGGGGAGAGGACACACCAGGGATTTTGGGGAGTGGAGAGGCCGTGCCCTGCTGCAATGGGGTCCACACCTCACAGGGCACCCCCTTGTTTCACAGAGTGCCCTGTGCAGTACTTTGCAGCCCTGTGCATCACACAGAATGGTGTGATCTCCATCACTGCCCCCCATCACCCTCCCTAGGTTTTCGTGTACTCCACGGGGTGGCTCAGGGGATGCAGCCCCTGACCCCAATCGCTCCAGCAGTGCTCCTGCCTGGAGCTGAGTCACCCCTGGCTCTGGCCAAGCATTGGGTGTCCAGGGCCGTTCCTCCCCCTCCATGTGCCTCCCTGGTGAGTAATGCTCAGACGACGCAGCTCCAGCTCCGGCATCTCCTTATATGACCGGAGAAGCTGCCGGGCAGCGGCACATGGGAAGCAGGCACAGCCCTCGCTTCCCCAGCACCACTCAGGGGGTGGAGGCACCCCAGCATCAGAGTGGGCAATGCCATTGGGGTGCTCCTTCATGCCCTGGGTGCTGTGGCCTCGCAGGGGGCACCCAAGGCCCCAGGAGCTCCAGCCAGGGCAGCGTGTCCCAGCCCTGGGAGGTGGCAGCCAGGTGGCACTGTGGAAACACCAGAGTGGGCATCACCGGATGGTGCTGGGGACAGTGGCCAGAGGCAGAGCTGCCAGCACTGTACCGGGTGAAATATTGCTCCTGGATGGATGGGGGTGCTGCCAGTGCCCCCCAGCCAAGCCCACCAAAGCCACCCCCATCACTTACAGCATGAACCACTGGACATGGAAACAGCTGTGAGCACACTAGGGGACCCTGGGGGGTTTCTCTCCCCTAAATGGGCAATAGGGTCACCCCACCCTGGCCATGAGACACCCCATTCCTCACAGTTGGTAAAGGGTCCTTCCAGCAGCAGTGCTGAGCACTCACACACTCGTGACTGCAGCACAGGAGCCAGGCTTCCTGCCATGCTTCCTCAGCAATGTTTTTCCCCTTTCTAGTGTTTTTTCCTCCTTTCTGGGAGCTTTAACAGCAAATCTCAGTTGTCAGCTATGGCAGCAGCTGAGAATCACTGGGGAGGAGAAGGAGACAGCAGGTTTTGGATCAAGGATGCCCAGGTAAATCACAGACACCATCACCTACTGCTCCCAGGGGCTGCCCTGGAATGGGGTGAGAAGCCTGTCTTGGTTGGACAAGGAGTCACAGTGCTGGAGCAAACTCATCACACCCCTAACCCTGAGCTGGATGACAGAGCACATACCAACACTCAGCCAGGTTCATTCCCTTCGGACCCATATCTTTTCCCCCCTCGGCATCACACCCTCTTTGCAAACCCCAGCAAAGGCAGGTGTGGGCAGACAGACAGACAGATACCTCGACAAGACACATCCCGAGCTGCCGAGCACAGCCGCACGTGCCAGCGCTGCCCTTTGTGCCGACAAGCACCAACAGGGCCCGGCCGGGCGCGGAGCCTCGCTCCACCCTGCCCGCGGCGCCACGAGCCATGGGAAAGGAAAGCCAGAACAAAGATGACGTTTCTTTTCATCCAGGCTATTAAAAACAAGGTGGAACGAGGCAGGTCGCTCATTCCGACGCTGCCCAGCGCATCCCTGCGGGACGAGCTGCTCTGCTTCGACTCTCAATCCTCTGCTGCTGGTGAATCACCTGCCCGAGCGTGTGCAGGCAGAGCTGGTGATCCCTCACCATCCGGCGGGTCTCAATGCCAGGCCCTGCCCGTGTGCCTCGGGCTCCTGGCAGAGCGGGCACATTCCCCACGTTGAACATTTCCTTCTGGCTTTCATCAGCCCAAAGTGATCACCGTCCTGCTGGGAGAGACAGCGACAAGTCCGCATGGTTCCATCCTGGCCCCTTAGCATCACCACCCGTTGGGACTCCAGGCTGGAAAAATTTTGGGCTGTGAAACCTCTCCCAAGGCAGTGACGTTCCTCGTGACCCCGGGAAACATCAACTTGCCAAGCACAGGGTCTTGTGCAAATAGGGGTTATGGACTGGGGGAAGTGTCTGGGCAGGGGTTGAGGCTCTGAGTGCCCATGACCCCGGAAAAAATCAACTTGCCAAGCACAGGGTTTTGTGCAAATAGGGGTTATGGACTGGGGGAAGTGTCTGTGCAGGGGTTGAGGCTCTGAGTGCCCCATTGTCACCCTCTGTTTGCACATGGAACAGGGGACTCAAACTGAGCTTCACCCACAGTGACCACAGCAATCTCGTTCAGCTCAAGACTTGAGGGGGCTGTTCTGCACTAGCCCCCCCAGATCTACACCA